TCCTTTTTTGAATAACTCCTTTGAACCATTCGAGTTGGTCATCATTCAAAATGCTTTTAATTGCCTTGTATGTCTCTCTATCGGTAATATCTATAATGTTGTTGAGGGGTACTGAAGACATAAAAATTTTTCCGGATTGTTTGTCTTTGTCTTTGTTCGCAGCCAAGACATCTAGTAATTTGTTACGGATATGCACTTCATCCTAGAAAATTGTTAAAGCAGAGTGAGCACAGTTATTATACAAAGAGGTAGCAAATGCCGAGATACCTCCGTAAGGTTTCTGGCTTCTTCATCTTGTGTTATGTCAATAACTTCTTCGTCGCTCTCTTCTGGGCCATCAGATTCATTGTATTCAGAATTTTCCCTACTATTATAAAGAAGCAATGAGCTCAATGGACTGATGTAAAATAAATGTTTGTACTATGTTTTCATACCTAGGCAATTTGCGACGTTTTCCTGCATTCACTACATTTTCGGGTTTCCGCTTCAGTGAACTCAAAATCATTTTCTTTTTCTCCGTGCGTGCAGTTTCTATGAATTCTAAGGCATCTATTTCTATATTGTTGATGACTGAATTCTAGAGTTGACGAGTACACTTGTTAGGATACGTAATATAATATTATATGCAGTAGGATAGACTTACCGTCATATTCACCACCTCCCGTTTTTTACGTAAATTCATTTTTTTTCCTTCAATTTCGTCCCAGAAATTATCTACACATAATAAGTTCTTGAAAAAATATGATAAATGGTAAGTAGCCGTGCAGAACTCTCATATTTCGAGAAGCTTAAACAATCAGGTGACATACGATGGGACGAAACCACCATCACCTCAGGCGGGAACGAAACCCTCCTTTGGCTGTATTACACCAACAGAAATTACACGATGGGACGAAACCACCATCACCTCAAAGCGGGAACGAAACCCTCCTTTGGCTGTGCAAAACTGTCATAACAGACTATAAGGAAAAGATAAATATTCAAACTAAAATACCTTCCCTTTCAAGCGAATTGCAGTATTTCTTTGTTGTTCGCTATATGCATCATCATTCGCAATCTTTTCTAAGCGTGTAACGAATCACTTCCTCCATGTTCCTTTGTCCGTATCTTTTACGGTATCTATAGTTGACATAATGACGGGCTCGAAAGACTTTAAAAAGTGAAGATACTCCCATTCTTCAACGGGCGTTTCATCAAAATAATCCCTGATCGCTTTATAGAGAAGGTGTAAATCCATACTCGATTATTTAATTTTTTGAGAGCAGTAATCCCGCACCCGCGA